TTTAAATCACATTTTATGGGGCTGGAGAGATGGCTCAGCGGTTAAGAGTATTTACTGCTTTTGCAGAAGTCCTGGGTTCAAATCCAAGCATACACATGGTGGCTAACAACTGTCCATAACACAAGTTCCAAGGGATCTGACACCTTCTTCTGGCCTCCATGGGCATTTCATGACACAGGTGCACTTACATATATGCAGGCAATACCCTCATATACACAAAATAAAAATAAAATGTTTTAAATTAAATTTTATTTATTTATTGTGTGGGAGCATGTCATACATATGTAACATGATACATGTGTTGTAGTCAGGAGGGAGAGGAGAAATGAGGAGGAAGAAGGCCAGGGGAAAGGGAAGAGGAGGAGAAGGGGGAGGGGGAGGAGGGGGAGGAGGAGGAGGAGAAGAAGTGGAAGGGGAGGAAAAGGAGACATTCCCCAAAGCCAACACCTAAAAGCCAATGTTCAGCAAAGACACCCAGGTCTATAGAGCCAGGAGTTCAGGCAGCCCCGTAGAAGAGACATGAGTTCAAACTTGGGCTTTCCACAGGCCAGCTGACCACATCAGGAAGACAGCTTTAGCCTCTAGAGCCCCACATGTCCCAGCAAAACAAGCACATCACCTGCCCATCCTTACCACAGCAGGTGCGGTGGGGGCCAAAAACAGGAAGTGCAGATGCCCCCTTTGAAAGCAACCCATGACCAAAAAAAAAAAAAAAGAAGAAAAGGGAAATAAGAGAGTAAGTCAATCCACATCAGCCATTCAACAGCAGACACATACCATGAGCACACATACCTTTTACTTGCCAACGAAAAGCTAAAATAAGATGCAGTGGGTAAGGTGGTCAGAGGGTGGGAAGAATCACAGATTTCTGGAACTTGCTCTTTTTTGTTTAGAAGTTGTTTTCTTTCTTTTTATTTATTTATTTTTGCCTATTTATGTATTCATTCATTCATTCGTTTGTTTGTTTTTCAGACAGGGTCTCAGTATCCCAGGATGGCCTCAAACTCACAATGTAACTGAGGACCACCTTGAATTTTTAATCCTCCTGCCTCCACCTCCTGATTACTGAGATTACAGACACATACCATCATGCCTAGTTTATACGATGCTGGGGGTGGAACCCAGGGCTTGATGCTAGGTCAGCACTCTACCAGCTGAACCATATTTACAGCCCCAGAAATTACTTTCTCTCATGTTGTAAATAAATAAATAGCAACCTAACAATAAATAAACAAAGCAAGCACTGACTTCATATCACAGCACAGCACACTCCTACTTGGCTTTCAGAACCTAGGTGCATGCTGGGTTTCAGAGAAGAATCTTCTGAAATTTATCTCATTAACCAAAGCAACTGGCTATACGGTATGGGGGAGCAACTTTATGCCCCTCACTCTTGTAGCAAAAACCCCAGAGTCCTGTTTCAGTGCTCCCCCAAGAACCAGGCTGGTCCAGTTCCACTTCTAACTAAACCCCCAAAGACTGGTGACACCCTGGAGGTTCAGAGCCAATTTTACAATTGGCTCTCTCCCAGTAATTCAGATTTCTTGTTGAAAACTTACCCATTATGAGCTGGGGAGATGGCTTGATGGGTAAGAGTACTTGCTGTACAAGTATGGGGACCTAAGTTCAGATCCTAGCATCCACATAAAAAATTAGCCGTAACCTGTGATCTCAGTACCTCGGGGGCCTGAGGTATGTGGATCCCTGGGACTTGTTAGCTGCCAACCTAGATGAAAAACAGTGAGCTCCAGGTTCAGTGAGAGATTCTGGAAGGATGTCTTCCTCAATCACTCTCCACCTTACTTTTTGAGACAGGGTCTCTCACTGAACCTGGAGCTCCCTGACTCAGCCAAAATGGTTGACCAGCAAGCCCAGGGATCTTCCTGTCTCCTCCCTGCAATGCTGGGATTACAGGTATGCACTACTACATCCATCTTTTCACCTGGGTCCTGGCTGGGGGTGGAAGTCAGGTCCTTTAACCACTGCGTGTCTCCCCAACCCAGTCAATCTGGTGTTAAATGAAGGTTTCCACTCTTTCCTCTGGCACAAAAACTCTCAAGGAGGCTGGATCTTGTAACTGGGTACATGTTCTTTGGTGCCACAAACCTGCCAAATTCTTCTTCCCCAGGCCTGACTTCTGTGGGCATTTGAGTTTACAAATCTAATTTATATGAAGCATTATGTTTGAACACTCATTCTGAGTCACAGCAGACCAGAGATTGAGAGCCTGCCTATAGTCAGCTGGATTTTAGATACTTCCTTTGTGCAGAGCAAAGTAACCAGAACGCTTGATTGAAAAAAATCTGTGGTATATGGCCAAAGGACTTCATATCCTACTACAGAGATACTTGTACATCCATGTTAATTGCTGTTCTACTCCCAATAGCAAGGAAATGGAACTGACCTACAAGTCCATCAAGAGATAAATGGATGATGACAATGTGGTCCATATACACATGGAATTTTATTCGATCATTAAAGAAATGAAATCTGCAAGAAAATGGATGGAACTGGAACATACATTCAGTGATGTAACCCAGGTTCAGCAAGATAAATACTGCATTCCCTCTCATAAGCCGATCCTAGCTTCTACTTTTTACATATGTGTGTTTATGTAGAATTGAGTGTGGGGAGCAGTCAGGAAACCGGAAAGGGCCCATGAGAAAGAGAAAAAGAGGTTTTAAGGGAGATGGTGGGAGAGAATACATGAATACATGTGATATGAAAGTGGAAGGGGGAACACTGGGGGTGGAAGGGTACAAATAGGGTTGCAGGTACAGGGAGTCGGGGGCGTATGTATGAAAATACCATGTGAAAACTTGTTACTCTGTACGCTAATTAGAAATAAAAGAAAGTGGGCTCAGAAGATAGCTCAGTTGGTAGAGTGCTTCCCTTGCCAGCTTAAGGACCTGAGTTGAATCTCTGGAACTTGCATAAAAAGTTAGGCATGGTGGCATACTTTTCATCTCAATTCTGGGATGGCAGAGACAGATGGCTCCCTGGGGCTCAGTGAGCAGTCAATCTAGATAAATAAGAGAGCTCCAGGCCAATGACAGACCCTGAATCAAAGGAGAGGGATGGTGTTCCTAACGATTGTCCCCTGGCTCTACACACATGCATACCTTATATGCATGCACATCCATACATACATGCACACAGATGCATCAAAAAAATTGTAGAGTCATGTCCTGGTAGCATTACCTGGCCCTGTGTACTGCTCAGGCAACAGGAACCTCCCTGCCCCTTTGCTCTTGTTAACCTTTCATGATGCTGAAAGCTTAAAAAGAAAATCAACCATATATAAGATGTCCACAAACGGGTGTGAGTGTGTAACTTTTTTAATCACACTCCAGAACTGGCCAAAGACTGCAGTGGCCATGGATTCCCCAATGATAGAGCCCACCTTGGATGCAATCATGTAGCCTTTCACACTCTGAACCCCACATGGGGCAGAACATTAGACATTTATATCATGAGGAGGAGTTGAAGTTGCCGAGCTTCTTCACCTAGAGGATCTACGGCATGGGAGAACTAGCGACCATTCCCACCCAAAGCAGTTCAGCTCCCAAGAGAAAAACAAGGGGTTTCTACAGGAGCCTGTCAACAAAGTCATTCATCCTTTGTCAAGTTATGCCTACTGGAAATTAATCTTTAACACCTAAATAAATGAATGTGTCTACTGGTGTAGTGCTAAAAATTCCGATCTGGTAATATTTCTTGACATTCGGGTGTATTTGTATCCTCTGAAAAATGCAGGGTGTTAACCTGGCTGACGTGTAACATGCATAATCACACTCGGTGCCTTCTATATTAAGCAGATTCAGATTCTAGCAGAATGGGATATGTGACAGCAAGTTTGATGGGGGAAAAGGTAGAGTCTAAGACCTACAGCAGTTGGGCAGATCATGTGGAAAGAACTTGGTAATTAGGAGAGGAAGAGTCCAAGGGTACAGGAAACAGTAATATTGTCATAAGCTAAGTGCTATTGAAAATGACTACCCTAAGTAGATACCTTCCTGTTCTGCTACCCATCTTTCCTTCCTGTCACTGAGATATCAGAGGCTCAGTTTCAGGCCAACTATGGTAATAAATAACTGTTAAGGTGCTGATGCATTATGCAAGAAAAGGCTTAGAAGGGAGCAAAGAAACAACTTAGGCAGCCATTTTAATGTCTCTACTAAATGCAGTAGATTGTTCCTTTACATTTTTATCATCACTATAAACACATATGCACACACAAACACAGAGAAACACATATACAATAGATCATCCCCAAAGGATTAATATGTACATCCTTCCAAAAGTGAAAACAGTCCAATCATCTTGCCTTATTTAGATGGTGTGTTGCAGCCAAGCAAAAATAGAATCATATCCTATAAGTCTGTTTTGCATTCACATTGCCATGAACGTGTATGTAGACGATTATTTTCATGGCAGCATCTTTATCACCTCATAACCAAACCAGTTGCCTTCTATAAAGATTGCCAACAGGAGGCTACAAAAACATATGGACAGGAGTTTAAGTAATGACTCTTGCCCAGAGGACAAAACAGTGAGACATTTCAATAATAGATCATGTTCTCAGGTTTCTATATCCAAATGTCAGTTGTGCTAGAAAATCTAATGTAAATAGATTTACTTACTGAATTGACGTGCAAAGGAAAAATAAATAATTCTTATTACAGCAATCATTGGATGGATCCAGAACAGACTGGATCACAGCTGCACTAAACAATCCTATTTCTTTATACAGACAATGCCATCTTGCTTTAAAACTAGTCAAAGAGCCTCAAGAGCAGGACACACAGCCGGGTACCACTTCACATGTGTGGGGTCTCCTCATCTGGATCACTCTGACAAGTCATTTGTGAAAATGTTATATGGTCTCTCTCCTCATGCTCAATATCCACCCCTCCCTACACCCAGGCACCAGCAGACACATACTGTGAATCAGGGTGGGAATTGAAGAGAAGACTGTCAAGAAAGTAGAAGGGCCTTACCACTTCCGGAAGCAGCTTCGTTGAAAGGTCATGGATGGCTTTGACCACTATGCATACAGATGACAGAAGGAATATCACCCCCAAGATTACACAGGCTCTGTAAGAAACAGAAGATCAAGAGTTATGTAGCCATTTCCTCCAAACTGAAGCATTCCTTCCTGGAGGGAGGCTCATTAAGATTCAGGAAGTAGGAGCTGGAGAGATTGCTCAGCGGTTAAGAGCACTGGCTGCTCTTATAGAGGACCAGGATTTGGTTCCCAGCTAACAACCATCCATAACTCCAGTTTCACAGGATCTGATGCCTTCTTCTGTGGGTATTGCATGTACTTGGTGCACTTACATGCAGGCAAAACACTCATACATAGAAAATAAAAATAATCAGTAAAATATTTTTTAAAATAAAAAGGCTATAAGAAGTAACAGAAACATAAGGTTCAGGAAGTAACAAAACTCACAAGTATCAGGAAGCCTGTGAAACTTATAAAACTAGAAGACCCCTCCCCTACTTCCCAAGGTCATATAAACAGAAAGAAGTGCTGGGAAGAGGTAACACTCTTCAGTGGAGTTGCCTGCAAGTTGTACAGGGAGCTCCAAGGATACATCTTTTGTGAGTTGTCACCCATGGGCTTTCCAGTAACGCAGCTGCCTTTGTTTCTCTGCTCCTGTGCTCCTGTAAGTAACCTGATAAACTCATTGTTCACTAAGCTGGACTTGGGTGGAATCATTTCTTTGGTATGTCATCAGGTGTAGATCCCCAGGGCTTTCTGGCAAGCTAGTGTAGCTCAATTGGTTGAGTTCTGGGTTCAGTGAGAAATTCTGTCTCAAAAAATAGTGACAGAAGATTCTTAACATTGACTTCTGGCCTCTCATACAGACAAGTATACCCGCAAGTACATATGCACACATGCACACACTGACAAAAATCCCTTAAGTCATAACCCATGTCTTTTCAGAGTCTATGGTAACATGTAGCAGGTTCCCTGTATGTATATGTCAAGTGCACATAATCAACTAGTTAACAAGTCACTAACCACCTACTTAACTCATCGGGAAGTTTCCCTCCATGAAGTCTAAGGCAGCACCACCTGTGTACAAACGAGTCTGGGGCGAGAATAAGACTCTTAACCCTTCAGCCAAGGGCCCACATTATAAAGAAACTCTAAAGTGTAATGAAAAATAATCAAAAGAATTTCATCATCTGGTTTGTTATACTTGAGTTTTTCAGAACTGTAGTCATGCTTTCTCTACCAGTGTATCTATGGCTCACAATTGTCCAAAAAACTCATTTTCTTCTTTTCAATGTGTTACACACTTGAAAACCATAACTACCCCTCCCCCACACACACAAAGAGTGTTAAGGCTTGTGTGTCAGAGCCCTGCTCCCACAGTCCAAAGACATTCTGAATATCTCAGGCTGTGGTGCTATTTTTAAACATTTTATTAATAATATATTGCATTTACATAGAAGCTTTCTCCTCAGGCACACAGAGTTCTGCACATCAGCTCGAAATCCCCTGGAGGGAGTCCTTAGACTCAGGTGTTTGTTTTCTGCTAGTTTATGAATGGGGAGGGGAAAGCAGAATGGTTTATTAACACAAATAGACAAAGTCAGCAAGCCCAGGGTTAGGAGGCTTGACTCAAGGTCATACAAACAGTTTGAAGTCCACCTAGAAATAGAATCTGAAGGGCTGGAAAGAGATGGCTCAGTCGGTAAAGTATCTGGTGCGAAAGCATAAGGACCTGAGTTTGGATCCCCAGCAGTCACAAAAAAAGCTGATGTGGTGATATGTTTGAAGCCCACTGCTGGGAGACAGATCCCTAGAGCTCATTGGTCAGCCAGCTTAGCTGAATCAACAGTGGCCTGCCTCTCCCAACACCCTCACCTGGTTGTGCGTGCTGATCCACCCTAGCACCAGGCCAAGGTTGAGAAGTATTTATTTACTGAGGGTCTGTGCCAAGAACCCTGCTAAGTGCTAGGGGTGTGATGACAAATAAGTCATAGTCCCTTTCTTCAAGTAGGGGATGGAAGCATTTGAATCACACAGGGTCCTTCAGAGAGGAGAGCTGAGCTGACTCAGAAACAAAGCAAAGGGAGTTCAGTCTGAAGACTGGGGAGAGGGTTCAGTGGGTAAAGTGCTTGCCCTGAAACCACAAGGACCTGAATTCCATCCTCAGCACTCATATCCAATCATAGTGGTGGTGTGAGTCTGCAATTCCATTACTGAGAAGGTTGGGGAATCACTGGCCAGATGGCCTCGCTAAATAAGTGAGCTCCAGGTTCAGTGAGAGACCCTGTCACAAAAACTAAGGAGGAGATAATGAAAGATGACACTGGATGTCGACCCCTGACCTACACACACACACACACACACACACACACACACCACACATGCACAAGTGTGCGCACATACATGTGTACCTATACACACATGGCTTCAGACCCAAGACAAGGGAAGGATAGAGTTCTTTTTCTCTGAGACAGAGACCACAGGAAGAGTGTTAAGGGGAAGGATCAAGAGCTCAGTTTTGGAAATGTTAGAGATTTCTCTCAGACATCCAAGTAGAGATTTATTTTTATTTATTCATGTTTAAATTTTATTTTGAGACAGGGTCTCATGTAGCCCCAGCTGGACCTGGGCTCTTGAACTATGTAGCAGAGGATGACCTTGAACTTCTGATCTTCCTGGCTCTACCTCCCAAGTGCTGGGATAACAGGTATGTACCACCATGCCCAGTTTATATGAAGCTAGGCATAGAACCCAGGGCTCATGCATGCTAGACAAGTATTCTACCAACTGAGATACATTCTGGCTCTCTTTCTATAGACTTTAAGCCCCAAATGAATGACAGCAAAGACTGAAAACTGAGATGATTCATCCCACAATAGATATGGCTGGAGGGCCAAGCTGAGGATGGGGGCTAGGGAGACACTGTCAATCAGAGTGCTTAACCAATATCCCAAGGGAAATCCGGCTTCCCACACACTGGCTGATTCCCCCAGACTGAGTGCTCCATTAGAACCAGGCAGAAGCTTCAAGGCCTTGGGAGTGATGCAACATCCTTCCAGAGTATTCTGCTGCCTAAAGGTGAGTCACAGGCTCCTGAGAGGAAAGGGCAGGAGGGAGGAGGGGGGATATTAGATGTGGCTTCCCTGTGGGGGAAGGAGAGGGCAGCGTTGTAGCACAACCTGTGAGAGAAAGGAGAGATCAGACTGTAACACCCACCACCATAATGCAGAGGCCCATGACTGTGCTTACCATGAACTAGCTCAGCCAAGCCTTTGTGCCTAGAGATGGTCTACTCAGGCCATGCTTAGAAAAGGTCTATGGTAGAGAAAAGTGGGCAGACTGACACCAGAAGCAACCAAGAGGCCAGCTCCTAGTGGGCCTGTGGGATTGCACTGTCAAGCACACTCACTTGCTCTCAGCTACTCACGTCATTTGCAAGGTCATTTGCAGAACCTGTGAGTGGAGGAAGTCCATCAGAGACCCACTTTCCCACAGGGCCATGTGCCTCGCTTGTGCTCCCCACTGGATGTGAGTAGCAATGTTACCCCACTGCACTTGAGCTGAAGCCAGAGTGTGTGTGACTGGGTTGGCCTTGTCACTGCCTGCTGCTCTTCAGAGGGGAGCTATTGCTTCTGCCCAGGACCTAGACTAAGAACTCAAGTGCAGGGGCTGGGGAGATGGCTCTGTCAGGAAGTGCTTGCCTTGCAAGCATGAGGACCAGAGTGTGAGCCCCAGAACCCAAGTAAAGGAAAAAAAAAAAAAAAAGCCAGCCATGGTGGTGCATACTTGTTATTCCTGCACTGGGAAGGCAGAGAAAGACAGGCAAACCCCTGGGGCTTCACTGGCCAGCCACCCCAGCTGAATCAATGAGCTCAAGGTTCAGTGAGAAACCCTGTCTCAAACAATAAGATGGAGAGCAGAGGAGACTCAGTGGTTCAGCACTTGCTACACAAGTGTGAAGACCAGAGTTTGGATCCTCAGAACCCAGGTACATGCTGGGTGGGTGTGGCAGTCCACCTGAAATTCCAGCCTTGGAAGGCAGAGACGAGGGATCTCCTGAGCAAGCTGTTAACAAGCTCAGGTGGCTGAGCTCTGGGTTTAATTGAAAGACCCTGCCTCAATGAATGAAGTGAAAGATTCCCATCACCAACCTTGGCTCATCATACATGCCAACCAACACATGAAAAATTGCATGTTTCAAATTTTCCAAAAAACGTTTGTATACATGTTTGTATACATGTGCACATATATGAGCTTATATGTAATGTAGAGACCAGAGATAAATGTTGGGTGTGTTTCCCAATTACCCGCCACCTTATTTTTTGAGATAGGGTCTCTTACTAAGGATCCTGGAGCTTGCTGATTCTGCCAGGCTGGCTGGCCATCAGACCCCCAAGATCTACTTGTCTCTTCCTCCCCAGCACTGGGATTACACATATGTGCTGACACACCAATTTTTGTTGTTGTTATTTTATATGGGTTCTAGGGGATTGAACTTCTAATGCTTTCCTAGGAAGCACTTTACCTCCTGAGTCATCTCCCCAGCTCTCAAGTTTCCTCCTTGACAGTGTGAATGAATCCAGTTTCAGGAGCATCCATTATGTGCCCTGGACAGGGAAGAGGCTCAGGGGTGTACTGTGTGGTATTGATGGTCTATAGCACTATGTCTGGGGTAATACATAGTTGCCCCTCAGTATCCGCAGGGGATATTTTAGAAACTACTCCCAAAGATGACAAAATCTATAGATGCTCAAGTCTAATAAAAATGGCACTCAAGATAACATTACTTATTTATTTCTGTCATCTCAGGACTTCTGGTAAAATCTATCCAAGCCTGTAAGCTGTCTTAGAGTCAAGTCCTATGGGAACAAATGCCCTGGGGCAAACACTCTGTGGCACTCAGATACAGAAAATGGGTGATTTCCATCCATATTGCCATGAGGAACATAAGTTTTCTCCCTATCCAACAAGTTGAGAGAAGAGCTTTAGTGTGAATCCAAGAAATAAGAAAGGGCTGGGAGAAGTCTGTGACCTGCCAAGGTTGAGAAAGCCAGTTAGTGGCTGAGTGGGCCTCAAGTGCAAATGTGAG